CTTAGAGATCCGAGTCTCATTTTTATGTATAAAGGATTAATGATTCTTTATTTATCTTAAATTTTTATGTGGACTATACTAATATTTGTCTAAGCTAAATATATAATATTTGATAAAATAATATAGTCTAGTTTTGTAGATCTTTTGAACTAGTTTTTAAATATATATTTTTTATTTGAATAGTTAGAATAAAAAATTAACATTCTTTATATTAAATATCAATTTAAAAAAATATGAATTTTTGTAGAGCTGGAGAGAATATCTTGTTTATTATATAAAAGGTTTATTATAGATCAAGAGAAATCTTTATTAGTTTTAAGTTCACTACTCGCTATATTTTTTAAGGAATATTATATTCATTTTATATTAAATACGTTTATAATTATTAGTAGATCAAATTGTTATTAATAAAAGCTAAAAACTCTAATTTTGTTTTAATTTTTTTACTTTCTTTTTACTTTTCTATAAAAAATGATTTTCTTCCCTTTTTATTATATTGACTGATTTTTTAAAATCAATGCTCGAAATTCTATTTTTTTAAAATTTGTTTTTCTTTTAATTCTATTAACTAATTTATTTAAATATATTTTTGTTTATCATTTGATAAATAACATACTTTTGTAGATCTTCTGATGTATTTGTATGACTTTATAATTGACATCATTACATCATTTTATTTTAAAAAAATATTCATATGCCTAAAAGTTTGTTCGCAAATTTTATAATTTATTAAATCTAAGTCAGGTATGTATAATTGTGATAAAATAAAATTTTATTAAAATTAGCTAATTCTATTAATTATAAATTTGGATTCATGAGTTCAAAATAATCAATTATCATTTTTTGAAAACATAGTAAAAAAAGATGCAATAATTGAAGAGGGAAGGAGAAGAAAATTAAATACTAAAAAAGATGAGAATGGTTCATTTTTATGCCTGTCACGATGCATTAATACATTTTGGTAGTGCATTTTCGGTACTAAGAGTAAAGTTGAACTTATTAACCAGAATGCCATCGTGTTTTTATAGATTTTTTCAATTTTTTTGAATTTATCTTATATCTAATGCACGAGATGCATTCTTATTTCTTTCATTAGATTGCATTACACACACAGATATATATATATATATATATATATATATATATATATATATATATATATATACATAAGTGCATTATCTTGATTCTAAAAATGCATTATCTTCTTATATAAGTGCATTATCTTGATTCTCATAATGCACAGTAATAGAAAAAATCAAATAAAAAGAAAAAGGCATATCAAAAGAAGATGTACTAGTACATCATACAATGTGCAACATACAAGCAAATTTTAAGACAACAACACTTTCAGCAACAAGAGACTACACAATGCAACCAACTGAAGCCCAATGAAACTGATGGAGGACATGTTGAGTAATAAAGTCAACTGAAAGGAATGTGCAACAAAATTAGGGAGCAGCATCCTCAGCTAAATCCAATTATTAGAGCTCTCCACATACATGCCACTATTAAAAAGTTCATGGCACCAATCCCAATCACCATCAGCACAACCATTAGACTTCCATGAATTTGGAAAACAAGAACAAATCACACTCGAAATTGTGAAGGAACCATGAATTTTTCGTTGGGAAGATAAAAAGACCATTATTGGATTCTCAATTGAGATGAGAAAAAAAATAAAAATTATGATAATCATACCTCGAAACATAAATCTTGAGAAAATTTCAGATCTGTTGTGAGATGTGGGCAAGAGAATCTCACGTAAAAGGAGAGAGACAAGAGAGGAAGTGCGCTGATTTCCTTGAGATGATTGCAGAGAGAAACGTAAACAAGAGGTAAATACTTATTTGCCCTTGTTCACTTTGTAATATGCGTATCTAGCTTTTTCGATCTAATGGTTGAGATTCATTCTTATTTCTTTCGTAAGATCTCATTCTCACCGGAACCAAAACCTATATATATATATATATATATATATATATATATATATATATATATATATATATATATAGATGTGTGTGTGTGTGTGTGTGTATATATATATCGACTTACACACATACAATATATTTTCATTTTTGTACATGTAAAACTTAAACTTTTAATATATGGAGTACTAAATTTCACTTTCATATAATTTATAAGAAATTAATACCCATTTATATGCAAATTTTTAATGATTTTTTTACTTTTTATTTTCTCATCTCATTTATTTTTATTTTTAAATTTTTAAATTTTTATTTTTATTTTTTAATTTTTAGATTTTTTATCTTGAACTTTTTTACATGTATTGTTAAATATCTTTCAAGAAAAATGATTTAAAAAATTAAATTTCTTAAAATCCAAGTCTAAAAGTTACTCCCCTTGGCTTTTTTCATATTTCGGTTTTTCAGATCAAACAACCAAGTGAAAAAAACTATTAAATCTGATCTGATTTTAATAAGAATAAGAAAAAAGTAGAAAAAATAAGTTGAACGGAACGGGGCGTAAGTATGCATTGTTCTTTAGATTTAAAAAAATTTTAAGAAGTAAATTCCATAATTGGTTTTTTATAGCAGTGGGATTTTCAAATATTACTCGCGTCCTTTTATGGGTGCATTTCTACAAATGGTCCTTTTTAATTTTTTGTCTTGTTGGTGTTAATTTTAAAGTTAAAAGTATAATTTGCATCAACCTTATGTCTAGTAACGTATTTTGATATTGGTTAGATGAATAAAATAAAAATAATGACTATGATTGTGAGCTAAGATTCTGACAAAAGACCACATCTTTATACTATGATTTTAGTAGAAAAAACGTTTCTAATTCACAAACGACTCATCATGAGCAGCCTTTAGAATTGTATTTGACAAAAAAAACATATTATAATTGTGAAATTACAATTTTAGCCCTGAAAGATAGAAGATAAAAAAGACTATTTATGAAATTTACTCTATGTTATAATAGAGGACTAAATAGAAAAATCTTAATATAATAAAGAACCAATTATGAAATTTACTCTTTTTGATATATAAACTTTGGATATCCGTGGATAGAAAAAGAATTTTCATGATTTTTTGGTTTCTCTAGGCTAGAAATTAAAATACATTGAAACATTTTTTTTTGAAACATTTTTTATCTTTGGGCATCCTTATTATTATTATTATTATTATTATTATTATTATTATTATTATTATTATGAGTTTATGGTTAGTTTGCCGCAAAAATTGTATAGAAAAATGTACTACTCTCTCTGTTCCAATTGATAGTGCATGTTTCGGTTTACGATGTTTAATTGAAATACTTTCAAATCATTTTATATGACAAATGATATAGAGTTAAAAAATAAAAATTACATATTAAAATGCTACATCAAAAGATCTACTTCGTACAAAACTAGTAGTGACAATAGTACTTTATTTTATCAAATTGATAACTAAAATAGAGAAAGAAAGTGAATGATGTTTGACCCTGTGAATAGTGAACAGACACTATAAATTAGGACGGAGGAAGTAAAAAATATTCAATGATTCAAAAAAAGGTTTTCATTTCAATGTTCTCCAACCTCTTATTATTTGCTTAAGGTCCGTTCCGTCGGACTTGTTTTTTCTACTTATTACTTATTATTATTAAAATCAGATCAGATTAGATCAGACCCAATCAGAACAAATCACATCTGATCAATCAGATCAGACCAAATCAAATCCAATAATACCCAATCACGAAAAATATAAAAAATAATATATATATATATATATATATATATATATATATATATATATATATATATATATATATATATATATCTAAGGATTAAATAATAATTACTATTATTATATTAAATCACATTACTTAAAGCTAGACACACCTAAATCTTAATTAATGTTATAATTTTAAATATTATTGTTATATTATTATTATTATTAATATATTTCAACTACAAACTTTTATTTTTAACATAATTGTTTATAAAATAATTGTACAAAATTTAATTTTCAAAACCATAATTATTTTATACATAAAAAGACTTACTTTTAAACTTTAACATGGTATAATATATACACAAGAGTGAGTTTATAACAAAATTGATAGAGGTGAAAGGAATATTAGTGTTTAAAATTTTATATGATCTTTAATTTGTAACATGAAATATATTATTATGTAATATGTATGTAGAAATGTAATATTTTTGTAGAATAGCATCCATATATTTTTAATATTTGGTTATTTTAATACTGATTATTTAGTTTTTCACAAAAATTAAAAAGTAGTCATATTGAAAAGATGTTTAATATTTCAAAAAAAAGTTTAAATATATTAATGGTTAGCTGATTTTCTTATTTTACTTTTTTTAAGTATATATGAAATGTAATACTTTAAAACTATTAAATTTTGTAATAATTTTAAGTTTAATTTAAATCAAATTTAAATTCATTTACACCATATTTAATTAAATAAAACCATATCCAATTAGATCAAATTCAACCAAATTTAATCAAATTCAATCAAATTAGATCAGATCCAATCAGATCAGATCCAATAAAATCAGACACTATCAAATCAGATAAAATCAGATCCAATCATATCAGATTAGAACTTTTAAAATTCAAATCAGATTCAATCAGATCAGACGTGCAGAACAAAGCCTTAGTTCAAAGCAAACAACTAATGAAAATTGGAAAAAATTCTTAATACGAGCTGTGTAACTAATTTATTTGTTGAAGTAAATATGTTGATTTGTACAAAAATTGCAAATTCAACCAATTAACATATTAACTAGATTAAGGTTCCTCGCCAATCCGTTTCTTTTAACATAGCATTTTAATTGCCATGTTTCCATTGTCAATTAAGCCAAAGGAATTATTGTTAATAATGTTTTAGTTTCAGAATACATAGTGGCCTAAATCAAAATGACAAACTAAACTTCATTTGACTTTAGACACGAAATTATTGGGTTATTAACATTATAACCTTTACATTTTGAAATTTCTTGGGAAGGCCAGCAAATGGAAGGTCTAACCGTCTAATGGTACACATTTTTCTTTATACTAATGAATGAAAATAAGATTACATAAAGCACATCCCTTATGAGAGCATCAATGAAGGCGCTCCCATTAGTTAAAAGAGTACACAAAGACAAACGCCAAATACACCGCACGCGAAATCAAAACACCAGTCTCGGGTCCAAAAAGGTAGTCTGGAAATATGTTCATTCATGATATATATTAGCTCAAAAGACAATGGAGAGCTATAACAATGTAGTTCCTATTTGAATGGCTCGTTATAGATAAAGAAATAGTACAAGTTGTGCACAATAAGAGTATACACTACCGCCTCACGGTGGCCAATTGGGGTCAGGAGTTACCAGTTCAGTTGTCAGTACATTCTCTGTTTCACTCTTCTTCCATTTGCATCACTTCCATCAAGACCGGTCCTGCCATGACCACAGCAAGTTGCTGGGTGTAGACCCATCTTGGCTACATATTGAAGCAGTTCAGTTAACACCGAAGGACAGCTCTCCTTCAGGTGATCAAATCCCTCTGTTTCCATCACAGCTAAGAAAAACCAAACACCCCTTTCGTCAGAAAAACATCCACGCACAAAGGTTGCAATCATGAATACAAAAATCATATGTAGTAGTAGTAAAAGGAGCAAATCATATATTGAACCAATGAGCATTTTTTGAACAATGTTTATCACAAATGAAGTAAATGATGACTTCTTGAGCAGTGGCGGGCCAGAGTCCAAATTATTCCCATTGATAATAAAGAAGTCATCTTCATCATTTTATTTCTCAAACATGAAAAAGAATTCTATGACGGAGGTAAGGAAAAAAACACACCTTTCAAATTTTCAGACGATGCGATGAATTTCAGACAAACAGATTTCAGTTGCACGCACTGGTGTTGATCAGCCAGAGCTAGCGTTGTAGCTACTGTATTGATGGCGACGTCCTCTATGAGTTTAGACTCGCAGAGCAATCTCAACCTGTCAAGCCCATATAGGTCTGCTGCAGCAAGCAAATGTTGGGCCATCAGAGTGGCAGCCCATGTTGTATCATGACCAACGAGGTCTTGTAAATCAGGCAGTGCATCCCAATATATGAAGTGAAGCAATGCCTGCAAAAGATACAAAGGAAATTGAGTTGCAAAACTGTCCCATCAGAAAGAACAAAATAGTATTGTACTTTAAATTGATTCCAAGATTTAAATTTAAAGCGAGGCATGCATGTGCATACTGAAAAATCAGTCAAAACATCTTGGATTGAAATAACTTAATGTATACTGTTCGGGATTAGAGCAAATTGGAACAGGTTCTGGTGGTCCGGTTTTGTCTTTGTCGGAAGCAGTAGCTTGCAAAGTACTGAATGCAAGAGCATCCAAAGTTTAATGTAATATTACTTCTTGCATGATGGAATTTTTTAAGTAAGAATAATAATATGCTTTCGAATTTGAGTGGACCTAATTAATCATCATCCTCAAAGCAATGCCTCTAGATGCTCACTGTTTGTTTAGTGGTTTGAGTTTTGAATTACTCAATCAACATGGAGATACGAATTTTACATGAACATCAGATTCGAAAATCTTATTAAGTCGAACACGAGAGGAAGATGCTGGACAGTACATGAGGAAGATGTATTGAGTATTTGAGGCTTTGTGCTTCTCGATTCTCTGAGTCCCTTAAGTCAGCACTTAGGTCTTAGCAAACACCAAAGAAAATAGAAATTTTACTATTTTAGGGTTGCATGCAACGCAAAGGGGGCATAGCGCCTCAAGACACATTTAAGGCATAGGCCTCAAGAACATGAGGCGCAAAGGAGTTTATTTCAGATTAATAAGAAAACTACCCAAACACATAAAAAACAACACAACCTGCATAAAAAAATGAAACCCAAATTACAGCAGATGATATTAAATTCATGGTTTAAACCTCAAAGTAACATAAAATTAGCAAATCTAATAAAATATCAAGTGTTTTTCTTTGTTGCTGAAAAAAGTATTTAAAATATTAAGAAATTAATCAGCAGATATGATGTGTAGAAAGAGGAAGAGGGAAACTGACCACAGAATAAAACAAAAAACTAAGCAAAAAGATAAAATTGACTGTTGAATTTGTAAACTAAAAGCTACAAGGGGAAAAAAGAGCAGAGAAAAAGCATACAAAATACAAAAAACTGAGACAAAGAGAAGAAGAAGAAAAGATAATGACAATGATGGCGAGTAATAACCCTAGGATGACTTTTTCAGGTTATTAATTAGGAAAATAGTATGTGTCCTCTAGGCGCGCCTCAGTTGTGCCTCACTTTACGCGCGTAAAGCACTGATGTGCACACCTTTCAATCATTCCCCGCTTCACGACTATGATGCAAAAAGAGTGTTCTCTTGGCATCCTATAATCAATACAAAAGGAGGGGAGGAAAAAAAGAAAAGTGCGAGCAGATAAAGCAAAGTTCAAAACCTTAAAAACAGGAGCTTGCATTTCTTCAATTCTAATGCAATGTGTGTATTGTTCCTTCAAGGGACCAAAGAGCTGTGCCCTGAATACAGGAGAACGTGCAGCAAGCACCAACTTGTGAGCACGAAACACTTCACCATCAACTTCAAAATTTATATCACTTCCCTCTGCACTTTCCAAGAGCTTCCCAAAATGGAGACCAATGTTAGGCGGTGGCATAGGAATGGAGTAAATCTTGGGTGCTTCTATATATGTTCTGACAACGCCAACAGTGCACTGTATCAAGAGGCAGTCGTCTTTGAGGAAGTCGGATGTTTCCAACATAGGTCTTCTAAAAAATCGTTTGTAGCCCCTGGAAGTGAAACATCATTTCAAAAATTTATTTTTGTGTTGTGTAGGAAGAAAAATGTACTACATCTAAAATTTGCAAAGGAAATGCATGCAGTTCATATTTCTCACAGATTGTTCATGTACATGCATTGGAGAATCCAATATTCACTTGCACAACAGTAATGGAGATCGGATGCTAGTTTGGAGGGTAACAGGATATACACATTTCACATCAAGTAAAAGCATGAGTTAATGTCCATATATCACTCCAACAGACACACACTGGGCACAATAGAAAACTCATTCATAACCGCTGCAATGATAACCACACAATGTTTATGAGTCATTTGCTGTATTGATAAATTGATATAGATCATAAGCATACAAATTCATATACAGAATTATTTTGGTTTCAATGGTATATGTAGAATTGGACTGAGTGGAAACTGAGCAGAATAATAAAGATAGCCATGGGCCAAAGACCTTGTGGTCCAGCGGTCTGTGGCTCTCCAAATGGGAGGTCATGGGTTTGAACCCCAATGGGGTATTAACTCTTTGTTCTTCAATTGGTTGAGAAGTATATATGAATAGATATTACATTGTAATATAGTTAATAATGGTAAAAAATAAAGATGGCCATGGAGTGGTAAAGCTGGAAAATAATTAATATTTTTTAAAAAAATAAATTTACCATGAGTTTGTACAATCCATACTACTACTATTACAAATGCTAATAAATAGGAACTCCCTCCGTTCCAATAAGTTTGAGACAAGGGTAGGTGGCATGGAATTTAAGAAATACTGGTATGGTGTTGTGTGATTGATATTGAACAAGTACCAATAAAGCAAGGATGATTTTTGAGCACACGAATATGGTATGGGACAGATTTTGAGATGGACCAAAATAGTGAGACTAAAATGGGACAAAGACAATGGTACATAGTGAATATCATATAATTCATGCTATAATTTATTATACAGTGAAAATCTCAAAGGTAGAGATGGAAACTTTCCCAATTTTACTAAACCCCATTCACTTGTGTTGTTTTATGATTTACTGTTACTAACTCATACCCTGCAGGTCCATTTCTACCATAGATAAGTAACTAAGCAGTGAATCTCAATCACATATACTCCTATCTCGAAAAAAAGATTGCACATTTATTTTTTGGTTTGACTCAAAATAAGGTTATACTTTTATGGAAATATTTGTATGGGTCATATTATTTACGTCTCCTCCCTACAAATCACAGTCACAAAAATTCAACTTTTTAATTACCATGGAGGGAAAATTACATGAAAAAGCACGACTTTTACTCAATTTTCTATTTCTAGCATGAACTTTATTTTTTGTCAATTAAATGCACACACTTTGTTTCTTTTCCAATGTGGGATACAACTGGGTTGTGGTACTTTATTTCTTTGCCAATTTTAGGCATGCCATTTATTTCCAAATTCGCATGCATCTCATATTTTTGTCCATTGTGTGCTCTAAAATTTTGAATTTGTTATTATGACTATGGGTCCTAATGAACTATTTATGTTGTTCTGATACAGAGTATATTTTTATGAAAATTGAAGTAGAAATGGTTAATTTTGCTTTTTCTATTGAATTTTTTCACCCCATTTTTTATAATCAATTTTCTAATAGAGCTGACTTGGAGAAGAAAAAAACACAAACTGCATGCCTTAAATTGGCAAAGAAATAAAGGTTGTATATTTAATTGAAAAAAAGTATAGTTTGTGCCAGAAATAGAAAAATGAGTAAAGGTCGTGTTTTTTCATGCAATATTTCCCTAACCATGGGTGTCATATAAGGAAATTACTAGTACTTATGTGAGGTAACGAATCAGGACAATACTTTTAAATTTGTTCAAACGCTTTAGAGCGGCATTCCAAAAAAACTCTTTTATGCAAAATCCCAATAAAATACAGAATGTGAAGTAAACAAAATGTGAACAAAATGAGAAGGATGAACAATTCTAGCAAGGATATTCTTAGGAGAAATACATGATTAGATCAGAAGTAGTAGAGCAGCTAGAAATGTAACAAGAGAACGAATTCAAGTGAGGCTCAAATGGTGACAAATAGTCATGAACTTATATTGTGCTCAAATATACTCCGTATAAGCTGAGCTGTGAATACTAAACAAACTCAATGCATACATGTAGAGTTAGGAAAAAGCATATGCGGAAAATAAAAGAACATGTGTATGTGATACTGATAATTACCACATGCTGCCCCGATATTTGAGGGTGTATGGTCCAGTCTCTAAAGCCCTCCCGAAATGAGAATGAACCTTATGCCTCCCGTTCCCACTCTGATCCAACAGAGTCAGCTCAAACAGCGCCCGAACATCAGTTGCATCACTAGCCAGCGCAATGAAGAGAGACACATACGTAGCATTATCCTCATTACTTTTCCCATCTGGGTAAAAGTAAATAGCCCAATCATACCCGCCAACAGTAAACGTTTCGGAGGCTATGTATTTCCCGATTCCCATGCCTTTTGACAGCGAATAACCCTTAATCTTGAAATCGTGCGACCCGTTGACCGTCTCCGTCCGGCAGGTGGACGAGGTGGTGGTGGATTGAGCAGACGAAGAGGCTTCCGGCCTTTGAGCATCCAAATGAACCCGAACAGTTCCCATTCCCAGGGGTTTGCAAGTAATTGAACCGGATTCGATTGAAAATGGGGGAAAACCAAACGGACGGCGACGAAAAGCAGGGACAACGGAGGGATCGGATTCAAAACCTAGGGTTTTGATATGGAATCCGTGTTAACAGAAATTGGGATTTGGAAGGTGAAAAAAAGTCCGATATAGGACCGTAGAAGAATACAAAGATGGAAGAAATTGGATTTCAGGCAACTGATTTGGGAGTCTGGCAAAGCGAGGAGACGATGATCGTGGCACGTCGACTCCGATATATAAAGAAGAAATGGAGTTCGATTATTGGAAAATTAAAAATTTATGGAAGGGCCCAACCAACTGGCCAAGTTCCCTCTTAGGGGCTGTTTGGTAACTTCTGAATGGGTAAGTGTTGAACCAGTAAGAGGTTTGAATCATTAAGTGCTGAACCAGTAAGAGGTCTGAACCATTAAGAACTAGTATATTGTTTAACTATTCAGAGGCAAATGTCTGATCAATTCAGATAAGAGCTCTTAACCATTCAGACTCTGTATAATACTTAACCATTCAGAGGCAAATCTCTTAACCATTCAGACATCTGAACCATTAAGAGGCTGAAACAAACAACCCCTTAATACTTTAATATCGCGGCAACTGATTTAGCTCCATACTTTAATATACGGATTACTTCCTCATCTTATTTGCCTAATTTGATATACTATTATAGTACTACCTCCGTTCTATTGTCTTTGTCCACATTTGACTTTTGGAACTGTTCATCTAAGCATTTTGACTCATCAAATTCTCTCAATGTGTAAGCCTAAAAATAGTCATGTGTGATCTTGTTTGATTCGTCTTAACATATAGATTATTAATATATAATTTCTAGAATGTTTTAATATCCAAATTACAAGATAAAATGGATTAAAGAAGTGAATTGGATGGTGTGCCAAAAGGTAAGTGGACAAAGACAGTGGGACGGAAGGAGTATTATACTATTATGTAGTTCAAAGATTTTTGATAATCAAATCAATAAAATACTTGTATGAATTTTAGCCAACGATATTGTGGTACCTTGTTAAGTAAGATGTAACATACAAGTAAATGTAAGTTTGATTCCTAACAATTATATTAAATATAGAGTAAAGTTCATAATTGGTCTTTTATAACAGGAGGATTTCCATATTTAGTCCTCTATTATCAAATATTACCCTCGTAGTCCTTTTTTTAAAGGGTGTCTTTCCACAAATGGTCCTTTTTTGATCTTCCGCCATGTGAGTATTAATTTAAATGTTAAAAGTATAATTTGACATCAACATTATGTCTAGTGACGTGTTCTGATATTGGTTAAACGGATAACACAAAAATAATGACTATGATTGTGGGCTAGGATTCCGACGAAAGACTACATTTGTAGACTATGGTTGTAGTAGAAAGCAAATGTAATTTACAAACGACGCAAACAGAATAATTTTTGGAATTGTGTATGATAAAAAAGATATATTATCATTGTGAAATTACACTTTTAACCCTCAAATTAACTCCCACGTGATAGAAGATCAAAAAAGGACTATTTGTGATAAGATACCCATAAAAGAAGGACAACTGGGTAATATTTGATAATAGAGGACTAAATAGGGAAATCCTCCTTGTTATAAAGGACCAATTATAAAATTTACTCTTAAATATAAAATCTCAAATCAACCGGTGATTATGGTTGTGTTTGGAAAATAGCTTTTCAAATAGTTTTTAACATCTTTGACAAACTTTGGTTTTTTGATTAACTAGTATTTTAACCCGTGCCATGCACGGAGTCGAACCAAATTTTTTTTATTCTGAATTTTTTCAATGCAATATATTTTCTGGAATCAAGTAAATATATTTCTAATATGATTTTTAATCAATAGGCAACAACGCTAAAGTAGAATATATAATTTTTGAGGAATTAAAAGTGTACTCAAGAAATCTATTTTAATTCCAATTTTTCTAATAAACTCCAGGGTACACAACATTGGTATGCTTGTAAGGGTTTTGTTGTCATCTAAAACCAATACTGAATTGGTTAAAAATAATACCTCGGAGTATAACAAATTAAAAAACAATGTTTGACGTTGATTTTTGTTAATAGTCATCGCAAAACATAAGACTATTCAGAATTATTTTCTCTAGAATTTCAGGGGTAGTCTTGAATCAGATGGTACCAAAATTCATTTGGGGTATGAAAACCTATCTTCCCAACTCGATTTCCTGAAACCACAATTGCATTGATAATGTTCTTTTGCAGCTCTTCAACAATTAATCTTCTACCATTACACAATCTAGATGTTTGGTCAATATTCTTCAATAACATATTTGGTACCACCTTTTTTATAATTATTTTTTGGTTTTGGATCCACGGACATTTTATTTCATTAAAAAAACTAATTGTTGTTCAATCATCTTCAATACCTACATTTGAATATGCTTGGTGTGAAGAATCTGAACTTAAATACTCTTTATCACCTCCTAGAATAAGGGATTCGACAACTTCATTTACCATTAAACAATCTCGAGCGCGGGTGCAAATAATGCACTACTTTAAAAAAGATTAATTTTTCATGTTCTCTAATATATTTGGATAAGTAAAGTTCAATATACTCTTGAGGGGGTACTTGTGTCAAGAATCAAGAATTCAGACTGGAGTTCAACGTCAACAATTCCATCAATCACTTGTCCAAACTTTCCATCTTCGACTTTGATTATCCAATCAAAAAATCTTGTGTATCCTATTTGTGCAAGAAGGTGTACATGAATACAGTCTCATATTCTTGGTCAATGTTACCAAAAACCAAGTCATCCGGCGTTCGGCTTTCAGAAACCGGCGTTCGGCTTTCGGCATTGGTTTTTGGGCATCCGAACCAACCAAGAGGTTTTTAACTTTTTATGATCGGTTTTTACTTCTGGGCATATTTAAGCAGTTCTCCAACAAAATTGCTTCAAAAACCACCTTCCGTTTATGGTCGTTTAGTGAAAACCATGCAAAACGACACAAACTTGGTTAGCCGTGGTTTTCAACTAAATGACGTGGTTTTTGAGTTGTTTTACTTGTTTTCTTAGCAAAATGCAATAAACAAATGTTTTCAACACTTAGTTTTTATTTTTGGAGAACTTACGTTTTTGACATCGGCTAACGGCATGACTAAACCAACCATAGGTCTGGCTAAACCAGCCCAACAGCGATGTTGGTGCACCCAACAGCGCTGTCTGGCTTGAGTAGCTGAAAACCATGGTTTGGCGTTAAGTCTTCCAACAGCGATGTTGCACACTAGACATCGCTGTTGAGCCAAGGTTGGATTTCCAGAAACTTCTGGAACAGCGATGTAGGCTTTCCTACAGCGCTGTCCAACCTAAGCCAAAAATATAGTGCATTGGCAGAAAGTTTCAGGACAGCGATGTTGACCCAGAAACAGCGCTGTCAGGCCAAACTTCCATCTTCCAAGTCAGACCTAAACATCGATGTTCTAGTATTGAACATCGATGTAGGGACCTGACCGTTGGAAAAAATTTAAGGCCAAAACTTTCCTTGTTTGGAAGTCAACAGCCAAAACAACGATGTAGGGGTATTGGACATCGCTGTTGGGGCATGACCGTTGCTTCCCATTTTTCAAAACGCAAGCCTAGAACAGCGATGTCCAAGCCTAGGACAGCGCTGTCTGGGTGAATTTCAGCAGATCCAAATTTAATCAAATCCCACAAATTGTGCAAATCACCCCTTAAATGTTTTGGTCCGTTGGAGCCTATTTTTCAACTATAAAATGGGGTGTTTGGGTTTGTTTTAAACATCACATTGACTTCACAACTCCTACTCCTTCATTGCAAATCACTCATTCTTTATTCATAGCTTTTTGAGAACCATTTTTGTGAAGCTTGTGTTGTGTTCTTGAGCGTACTTAGTTTACTCATAATCTACTCTATAAGAGAGGCTCGTTCTTGAGTGTATTTGTGTTCCTAGACACTTTGAGAGAAAGTATTTCTCTCGCTAGATTCAAAGGAAGGGTTGTTTCCTTTGAAGGACTCGTTGAGGTTCGTGTAACTCGAACTCTCAAGTTGTAACGGTTTGTTAAGCACCCGCAAGCTTAACGAGATAGTAGTGTAGCTCGAGAGAGTCTCTCGGGAGGCTGGATTAGCCACAAGTTGTGGTGAACCAGGGTAAAATTCGGTGTGCCTCTTACTCTTCTCTTTTAATTTTTTAAATTCCTGTGATTTCTACGATCAAATGCTATTCACCCCCCCACTAGCGTTGGTCTATTATTCTAACACAACAAACAATTCATTCATACCTGCTGCAATGATAACCACACAATGTTTGTGACTCATTTGTTGTGTTGAAATATTGGTGTAGATCATAAGAATACAAATTCACGTACAAGATTACTTTGGTTTCATTTGTATATGCCTATATATAGACCGAGTGAAAAATGAGCAGAACAATAAACATAGTCGTGTGCCAAAGACCTTTTGGTACAATGGCATCACTGTGACTCTCCAAATGGGATGTTACATGGTTGAACCCCCATAGAGGCGTTAAGTCTTTTCTCTTTTGTTGGTTAAAAAGGACATAATGAACAGTTACTACATTGTAATAGAGTTTATAATACTAAAAAATAAAGATGGCCAAGGGAGGAGTTGTAAAGCTACAAAATAGTTAATATTTTTAGACAAATAGTTTTATGAAGAGTTTGTACAATCCAAACTACGACTATTACAAATCCTAATAAATAGAAACTCCCTTCATTCCAATAAGTTTGAGACAAGGGGAGGGGGATGCAATTTTAGAAATAGTAGAATGGTGTTCTGTGGTTGATATTGAATAAGTACCAATAAAACAACGATGATTTTTGAGCACATAAAGGTGGTATGGGACACATTTGAAATGGATCAAGATAGTCACACTAAAACGGGACAAAGACAATGGGACATAGTGAATATCATATAATTTATGCTATAATTTATTACACAGTGAAAATCTTAAAAGTAGAGATGGAAACTATCCCAATTTTACTGGACCACATTTACTTGTGTTGTTTTACGATGTACTGGTACCAACTCCTACGTACCCACATTATTGTATCCATGGATAGATAACAACAATAGCACAAGAAACTCAACTCTTTACACTGGCCTCAACCACCACAATAAGATTGGTAAGCCCACAATGCCACATGTTTCCAATTACATACTCTGTACAGTTTGCTCATGGCCTCCAGTCATGGTAGTCAAACTCTAGATTCTACGCAGGATCGATAA